ACCAGCTCCATGGCATCCTGCACGTAGTACTCAAAGACAGACTGTGTTGTTTTTCCATGTGCAATGAGCCCTAAGGGCAGACCTTCTGTCCTCAGTTCCTCCACATTCTGGGAATCTCCCAGCACCCAATGTAGCTCGGGCGGCGTTACCCCAGAGTGGGTGGTGATTTCGAAAATCTGCCGGATGCTTTCCATGTCGCAGCCGAACATCACCACTGTAGGTGTGTTGTCCCTAATACTCTCAAGCTGGACGTGCAGGAAGCTCAAGAGGTCGTCAGTGGAGGAGAGGTTGGCGGTGACGTTGACGATCGACCCGAGGTGGAACTTGGAATTATTCTGCGTGAGGAGGAGGAAGTCAGTGATGTTCCAGTCTTCATGGCACAGCAACAAGCTAAAATTGTACCAGTTGTTCATGGTCAGGATTGAGACAGTGACATCAGCATCAGAACTTAAGGAATTTTCTAAACTCAGCTGTAGGTGAAGGGGATTCTGTATTTAAAGATACGAAAAAGAAGAATTAGAAAGCATTGGCCAAAGACTACTACAGAGGGCTTTTATTTATTTATTTCTTAATTTCTTACGCATCGTAACTCTTTATTTTTCCCTGTCATATTCAAATGCATCTGGGAGAAAATTCTCATTATTGGGAAAACTATGCTTACTGATTCCCTACAATTAAATCCCTGCTACTTTTTGCTCAGAGACCCAGAAGACAGATGGCTCTTTGTGCAAATGTCTGGGGTGACACAGTCCTACAATTGGTCTTATGCCTTTATCAATTTTGTTTACTTCCTCACAGATCTCATTGCATATGCATCTCATTTCTTAGTATCACTGTTACTAGCTCATTTGTTGAACTTAACCCTCAGGAGAAATAATTTAAAGAAAGTAACATTTGTTTTCTCTCAAAATCAACAGCAGGGGCATCTTACCACAGTGCAGGTGCTTGGATAAGAACAGTACAGAAAACGACTATGTCTTGGTTTCCTACCCTCTTGCAGCCCCTTCAGGAAGGCTCTTCTGGACCCTTCCTTGGGATAATTAGCAGTATACAAATCAAGATTTCGTGTTTAGTCTCACATTGAAGACTTGATTACAAATCTACTCAGCCTGAGTTCTCGCTGTGAAGTGTGTGCCACTTCAATTCATTTATGAATTCCCATCACAATGCCATCTTCTTCTGGGACCCACCAGCTCAATGAAAGCCAAGTATGTGATTTGAAAAGTCACCATTATTAATCACATAGGTGAAATGGAACTAGTCTTTCAATAAATACATTTAATAGTTCTTCCCGAGTGCAGACCTTTGATAAACTCATTTGTAACTGACATCCTGAGAATGTGTAGCCCAACGCCTTACATATCTTAGATGCACAATAAATATTGATTAAACTGACCTAAACATGTTTCCATCAGGCTATCTGTGAGAATTCACAGAGCGTTTAGGTCAATAATATGTGTAAATAGAGGGAGAGGCCTTTCACAGTCAGGTTTCATTCCCTTTTATACAATAGGAAAGAAGGGTAGAGTCTATCCCTGAAAACTGTGTAGAAAGAAATAGGATCTGAGCTGTGCTTTGAACTCTTCGAAGGAGCGAAAAGATTTTTATGGGTGGAGTAAAGCATGAGCATTCCAAGGGGGGTTGCAAGAGAGAACCTATGCAGAAGGCGGGTCACGACAGCAATCATGGTGGTCGCTGAGGCACAAAAACCCAACGCAGTGCCGTCAGTCCGTTCCGACGCATAGCGATCCTACGGGACAGAGTTGAACAGCCCTATAGGATTTCCAAGGCTGTAAATCTTAAGGAAACAGACTGCCTCATCTTTCTCCCACAGTCAACTGGTGGGTTCAAACAGCTGAGCTTTCAGTCAGCAGCCCAGCACCTAACCACTGAGCCACCGGGCCTCCTTGGTCAGTAGGAGTCTAGAAAATTATTCTGGGCGTTTGACTACTGTCTTTCCAAACTAAGCTTTGGATCAGGGTTCTTAGAGGATAGGCAGCATTTAGCAGGGAGAGAGGAAAAAAAGCCTTTCAGGATCTAGATTAGGGGCCGAGGACTTGAGCTAAGAGCTGAAGTTGGTAATGGTAAAAAGGATGATGAAAAAAGGATTTAGTGACAAGATCAGACATGGGAGGCAAGAGAAGGAGGGATACGAGAGCAGGAGACCATTTCAAGGTTTGCAGACAAGGTCCTGAGGTAAGAGGAACGGAGCCTTCTCCTCCTCACCCCTGTTCTGATTCACACCATTTGCTCCGGACGGGTTCCTGCTGTCTTCCTTCTTTAGCTGACTTCCCTTTCTCCTTCCTTTGGATCTCCTCCTCCATCTTACCTCGCCCCCAGAGCAAAGAGCAATGGAAAGCTAGCCACATACGTTTAGCTGCAAGGAACAAACTACCCCCTACTGTTTTCTTGGCCTCAGCCTTCTATTCTGCTGCCAGTTTTCTTTCTAAACTCAAATATGGCCGCATCATTCGTTGGCACCATCACCTCAGAATCGCCCACTGGACACATTTTCAAATCAATAGTATGGTGTTTAGAAGGCCATTCCCAGTCTTCAGCTTCACCCTCTGCACTGCCAAATGTATCAAGACAAGTCACACTGAACAATGTGCTTTGCTTATAGTCGGGGCACACGGGTCCACACCTACACGCCTGAGGCTGTGCTGTCACTTGACCAGGAATGGGACTTGCCAGAGTTCATACTCAAGAGCTTCCAAACACAGATTGCCAGAAACGTTTTTTTTTTTGTCATGTTTACTATGTTTCTGCTGCTGATCTTTTCCTTTTCTCACAATATTTTTGCCCTGTTGAGTTCCCACAGTGGTGAAAGGGGTTTTTGCTTCTTTGCTGGTCAGGCAGAATGAGTTGTCTCTTGTCTGTGTCATGGTGGCACCTGGTTCAGCTCTCTGTTACAGACCTCTTCACACTATAGTCTAACTCTTCAGTTAAGTGTTTGTCTTCACACTAGACTGGAAACTTCCTAGGACAAGGACCATATCTCAACCATCTCTTCCAGTACAGTTCATAGTGAACCAGACCTGGTGTTTGTCAAATGGGATTTCTCTTTTGTTCCCACAAGTCTTGGCTATGGTCATCATCTCTCTGTGGAGAGACTGGGAAGAAAACCATTTCTAGGAACACTTAAAGACACATCATGCCTGCAGTTGGCACAAAGGATCATCCAGCCACGACCTGCAGAGGAACTCAGTGTGTGAGGAAGAAGCTCTACTGGGGGCAGGAGTGGGAATGTTCTCTACTTGCTAAATGGGAATGAAATTAGGTTACTACGATGAAGCATTTAGCACCAGAAAGAGAAGCAAATGCGTTTGACACAAGACAATGACCAGGAGTGTGTGTGTGTGTGTGTGTGTGTGTATGTGTGAAACATGGATTCTACTAATGGATAATGATTAATCCATCTAATGACAGCAGTCCTTACAAATAACTCTATTGAGATGTTGCAGATGTTGAAGTCAATCCTTTGACAGACTTTAAGGGCCTGATTTCTTCAAACAAATACTTAATAGTAGTTTAGAGACATCTAGTTAAATGCCACTTATCTAACCTCAGCTGCAGCATTTCTCATTTTCTCCCCCTAAAATGAAAAAAGTACAGCCACACACAAGGATATAAAAACCTGTAATACAAAAATTCAAAGCTGATGGTAAAAGTTTTGCCAAAATCTGGGTCAAAATTCAAGAAGACCTATGGAAAACCAAATTGAGGATTAAAGTTTGTGTCTGACATGTGGTTTGCTGTTCACACAAGAGCAGACCCATGGCCTGAAAGAAGGTATAAAGTGTTTTTTTTTTTTTAAATATTCCCAGTGTTTGCCTCCTAAATCAGAGATCCAGAAACAGAACAGCTTGAGAAGCTGGAAGCCTCTTGCTACTGTGCAAGTAGATTACAACTGCCTATTAAATGGATTCAATTTAAATAAATTAAAATATACAGGCTCAAGAGAGGGAGGCAGAAAATAAGAATTTAAATTAAAAAACAAAAAAAACCCAAAAAAAACCCACCACTGTCATGGAGTCGATTCCGACTCACTGAGACTCCCATCACATTTCCAAGGCTGTAAATCTTTCCGGAAGTAGATTGCCTCATCTTCCTCCCATGGAGCAGCTGGTGGGTTTGAAGCGTGTTTGGATAACCACCCAAC